TTTTCTTATTCCATTTGTAGCTCTTTTATCAATGAGTTCTGTGTGGTGCTGCACATTGCTCATGACATGATGACTCTTGTCTGTTGGATTGGTTTGGGGAATTNTATTGATCGCCGCTTGAAACCTGATCTTGTTCGTGCAATTGCTGAACGGTATGCGTTGTACTCTAGTACTGTTTTCTTATTCCATTTGTAGCTCTTTTATCAGTGTGTTCTGTGTGGTGCTGCACATTGCTCATGACATGATGACTCTTGTCTGTTGGATTGGTTTGGGGATTTTTTTTTTTTTTTTTGCGGAAATTATGTGCTCTGTAGCCCAGAAGTTATACTGCATGGCTGAATGCACTCATCACTCACCCATGCTATGTAATAGGGTGTACCCAGTGCATGAGGCTCCCGCCATTGCGGGGTCTTGGGAGAGGTAGATGTATGCAGCCTTAAAGAGGTGCGACTCGAACTTGTGACCTCCAGGTCACAATAGAGCAACCTTATTGTTGTGCCATAGCCCACCCTCACTCACCCATGCTATGCGTGTCTTTTAATTTGTGAAATTCGACTTTCAGTTAGGATGTTAAGGTTTTTCAGTACTACAAATCATCCTTCAAATGCCCTTATTTGCCTAGCAATTACAAAAAAATCTTGTTTGCCCACATGATAAGAACAAGCGTTGGTTTGTACTGAATCGTCTAAACATATTCCTTGACATACAGCCCATTGTTACAGTATCTTCTTGTCTGGTAAAGCCAAAATCATTTGGGCTGCTGAAGAGTCTTCTTAATTTTCTCCAGTCATCAATGATTATACTCCATGTTGGATGATAATTGTTGGATCATTAGTTCAGCTGGTCCTGTGGATTGCCAAATTCAAAATTGTCCATGTCGACTATGTTTGTTGTTATGAGAAGATGATTTTTTAATTTTTTTTTTCCTTTTTATGGCATCAGTTCATTCTGTCGTCTATGGGGATCTCTTGATTGTTTGCAGGACCTCTGATGGTATTAATCTTGGTGATGCTTGCCTGGCAATGGGTTTTACCACTCTGAATTCTGTCACCCTTTACATATAAATTTCAATCCTCTTAGNAATCTTGGTGATGCTTGCCTGGCAATGGGTTTTACCACTCTGAATTCTGTCACCCTATACATATAAATTTCAATCCTCTTAGATGTCTTTCCGGATGTCTGACATAAATTTTGTGCTTGGCATTGCTTATGATCTGCTTCATACGTCTGTGTAGAAAGTGCTCATGGTTTGACTACAAGCTTATTTTTGTTCCTTGTGAGGCATATGAAATTTTGAGGGGCTGTAAATTCATTAGCATTCGTTGGGTATCATGGATCGATAATTTATTTCAGTAGAAATACAAGTAGGTTGATATGTAGAACTTATTATCAAAGTGAATAATTAACGAAGCAGCAAAAGAATACATATAGTGTTGTCACAAAACAATTTGCACGTTGTTGATTTGAGTCTTGAGATACAGCAAAAGAGTTTGTTTTTAAGCAACTCTTGCAAGCTAACTGTTCTTCTTTATTTTGCAGGGACAAGGTCTTTGAACAGCAAAAAGTATTGTATCCTTTTCAGGTTTCTTTATATGGCATGTTTCTTGTGATGTGGAGCCTGCTCTTGTTTACTTTGACAGAGTTGCTCAAATATCTGTACATAGTAATGGTCTTATATTGTTGACACTACGCCATTTTGAATTTGCTGATCCAGTCTTGTTGATCCTTGTGTGTATCTGCTTTCGCTTTACTCTGTGTACTTGTAGCTCAGATCTGAGAAGAAATATAGAGAATTTGGAGAAGAACAGTGTAACCAGTCTGAGGACATTGGTCAATCTTGGTTCTGAAGTTTATTTGCAGGCTGACGTGTAGGTCTTTCACATGATATCTTTCGCCCAAAAAATAAAAAAACGAGTAACTTTTGCACAAGAAGAATGCATGCAAGGCATCAGTTGTCTTCCTTCACTTCTCTATCCTCTTTTCTTCTTCTTCTAGAGTTTTGTATAATGGTGTCTCATTTGTCTGTGTATATTACCCTCCTCACTTTGTTTTCTTCGCTCACTGCTACTGTGGACTATCTTTTCATATAGAAAAGCATTTGTATGTTATAGTTAGTATAATTGTGGCCAAACTCATTCTGTATCAAGATTCCAGTACTAACTGAAGTTTCTGAACTTGTAGTTGTAATGGACACCAGCATTGTAGTAGAAATTTGTTCACAAATACTTTTACGTAAATGGAAAGAGTATCTGTATATTGGACACTAAAGGGTGCCTTTTGTTTGTGTTTCTGTCGGGCTGCAGGCCAGATACACGACGCATATTTGTGGATATTGGACTGGGTTTCCACGTGGAATTCTCTTGGTCTGAAGCATTAAGTTATATATCAGCAAGGGAAGAAAAGTTAGCCGGGTATTTTCCCCTTTCTTTTCTCAATAGGAGTGTGGCAGTCTACACACAACCTGCATGGATCTAAGACATTTAAAATTAAAAAAGGGCAAGAAGCAGATTGGAAGGAAATTAATATGGAGCTGATCAAATTTATTTTGATAACCATCTCATGTTCTTCAGAACTGATTTTCTTCTGGATTTGGCGTATACCAAGCCCCTTTAATGATCACCCAGTTTGCTAGTTTGCTTCACTTGTCTAAAATAGCTTCTGTAGGTGTTTTCTTTTTTTTTTCCTCATCAGCAACACAATAGCTTTAGTATGCATGATTGAGACTGAGACCTTATGTTAGTTGAATATGAACTATTCCTAAACTTAGTTTGGTTTAATTAGTTTTTTGAGGTTCATTAGTTGAAGATGGCTTGGGATTGGATTCTACTCATGCATACTGAAGTTTTGAATTCATAGGATCTGGAGGCTAGTGAGGCTTTTTTTTAAAAATTCCTTAGTGCACATAGGAAGGCGAACCCAGAGCATATGGATGGCAAAATATAGCAGATTCTGCTTTCACTGGCCTTATTTTCTCAGCTTAAAGATTTGGGATTTTGTCGCAAGTGCATTCAAGTGGCATGCACACACAGTGTGTGGAAGGTGTAGGTAGGGTTAGCTCTCAATTGATAGGTGATCATTCCCTTTGCTGAAGGATGATAGGATGAAAACCAAGTCATCTAGAATTACCATTGCACATCAGGGACACACCTAGTTTTTTTTCTGGAACGGTCATCCTGAGTCTTGGTTTCGCTTGATGGATCATTTGCTTGCTTCTCCAGATTGTTGTATGGGTTGATGCATTTGATTAATATGATGTTTTTACTTTATTTAATTTGATCACTTATCACCCATTTTAATATATACCTGTCCAGCATTGATCTTTTTCTCTNTGCATTTGATTAATATGATGTTTTTACTTTATTTAATTTGATCACTTATCACCCATTTTAATATAAACCTGTCCAGCGTTGATCTTTTTCTCTTTTTTTTTTTTATGTCCTCTTCCTGTTATGTGTTTGTCATAACTGGAAACTCGTCTTGTATATTCAACCCCCTGCTAAACAAGATTTTCTTTATTGGATTTACAAATTAAATTATTATATTTGGTTTCTGAACATTGTACGAAAGTATACCTGTTAATTTGTTATGGATGCTGCCCTCTGCCCTGCAGGCAAATAGAGGAGTATACTCGCCTGATCGCATCAATCAAAGCCCAGATTAAGATGGTATGCTTACCCATTAATATCCCCTCTCCGGTTCTACCCTTTCTACTTGTTTCCTTACCCCTGCTTTCTCAAGAATTATTGCTGGTGCTCTCTCATTGGATTTTTTAGCCAAGACATATTTAAAGGGTAAAAAGAGGAATAGAAGAAGTAACACATAGGACAAAGTTGGAACCAAGACATTAATTTATTGTGGTGTTTTTGAATTTGAGATCATTTTTTGTGATCCCAAAATTGGATGAACTCCAATTTGCTTCGACAAATGGGCAACTCTTTCTTTCCCTTCTTTCTTTTCCCTGTTGGAGCAACTTTTAAAATGCTGTTTGCAGGTTTGCGAAGGAATACGGGAGCTACTCCAACTTCCAGCATAGGTGTCTTACTAAATTGTAAATTTGGCATAATGAAGAAATAGAAGAGATGGAGGAAACGAAGACCGAAGTTGCTGTGTAATTGTGCCCTTTTGCTTCTGTATCTCTATAGAGAAGCTTTGCAAATAAAAAGCCTAATGGCTAATAATACATTAGCATCAACATGAATTTCAACAGCAGTAAATTCTGAACAAAATTGGCAAGTTTCCAGGCTTGAACTCTCTGAGTGTAAGGTGTAAATGTTTTTGTGAGTCCTTTTTTTCTCTCCTGTCTCAGCAAAAACAAATTCTGGAGGTTGTGGTAGTGGTGGTGGTTGGTGGCTTATCCCATTTACAGGCCAAAACAGTTTCTATTTGAATGTCAATGAGTAAGTTGTCTCAGTTGTATGCCAAAACAGTTGAAAAATACATTGTAGGGTTCAGTTCTACACTGGTTCTTTCGCCTGGTAGGCAAGTGATCGACTTAGGGGTGTTAATTGAGTTGAGTTTTGCGAGTTTGAGTCCGAGCCTATTGAGTTTGTTTTTCTAAAAGAGTCTAAAAATTTATTTAAGTTCGGTTTGTTTAGAAAATGAACCGAGCCAAAGGCCCAATCGAATTCTAGTTGAGTCCGAGTAACTTGACTATTTTATATATAAACGAATTATGTTTTGTGAATTTGAGCTGAGTTTTTAAGGCTTATTTTTCTAAATAAGTCTAAAAAATTGTTAATAGTGCAGTTCATTTAGAACATGAGTCGAGTTTGAGTTACGTCTTATCTGAATTGAGCATAAGTCGAGTAACTTGTCTCGATTAATTCCTTACTTGTAGTGTTTGTATAATTGGATCCTGCATATAGTATTTTGCTCATTTTATTTTGGAAATGTTGGTGCCCAAATATATTAAATGTTTAGAACTGGAAATAGGTATAAAAAAGAACAGTCTCCTGAAGGGTGGAAACTACAATTACACTTCATATGTTGCTAGGTACAAATTAACATATCCTGATTACTCCCTGCATGATGATAAAAAAAAATTTTATCCAGCGCAGGAAACTCTAGTCTCTAGCGGATGTGAACAATCTCCCAATTTCTAAACTTGATCCTGCAACACATTACCTGGGTGGATGAACATTTATTATCCCTCTAAGTCTGATCTAGTTGCTATAGAATTGAAAAGGATGAAATTCAAGGCTCTTCTATCCTCTAAATAGCACAGTGATAGAAGGGAGATCAAGAGAACTCCAAAGAGACAATTCACTACATTCCTTGCTTGAAGAAGTGGAAGAAGATGAAGATGAAGACAACCCTGTCTCTGTCGAAGTAATTTGATGGCTCTCTACCTGTTCTTGACATACCTGTTGGACACATTCATTTTCTTGTTTTTTGTTTTCCTCTTGATCTTTACTGCAGTGGATACCAATGTTGGGAAACTCTTTGAACCTCGTTGTTCCCTTCCCATTTCCTGATTCAAGTTTCATCCTTAGACACTCTGATATCCCATTGATTGCATAAAGTGAAGCTGAGAATTTGCGTTCATATCTCATCCTCTTCATGACCTCTGTAAGCATCGATGGCTCTTCGCCATCATTTTCCTGTTCAATTGGCTCTATCATCTCTTCTGCAATCTCAAATGGCAAACAGTAACCAGATGATTCAACTGCATCCACAAACTGGAAATCCATTACCCCGAAATCGTTCTCTTCTTCTCACTCCTCTTTCTCCTCTCCTTCCCCTCCAACTTGATCACACCACGGGGCATTACCACAGGTCAATAACTGATCGACACTAGTCCAACTATTCTCCAATTCACATTCTCTTCCACCACTACCTTCCTTCCCAATGACACTTGATTCGATACTAGTGGTCAGGCAATCACTGGTACTGCTAATGTTGCTGATGTTAGCACCCAAATCACTGTTTTCGTGAATGGTGGCGTTGGACATGTCAACAAAATTAACGAATTGTGTATCTTGTACTTCTGTTAGTTCTTGATTCTGTTGGTTATGATCGTGGAGCGTGTTGTTATGAGCTTTAAGCTGTTGAAGGAGAAGATTGGTGATCTTAGAAGGAAGAACTGGCGATGAATTAGACGGAGGAGGACATTGCCAAAAATTTGTTCGAGTATTGGCTCCACGGAGCAAGCAAGCAGCCTCATCATAAGCTCTAGCAGCTTCTTCAGCAGTGTCAAATGTGCCCAACCATACTCTTATCTTCTGAATGGTGTCTTTTATCTCAGCCACCCACCATAGCCGTTGCCGCACCCCAACGTAGCGTTTTCGGGCTCGTCGAGCTGCCAAGGCTGCAGCCTCATTCATCATCTGCTGCCAATCCATGTCCCCATTATTACCAGTCTCTCTCTCTTCTTCTCCCTGGTCACTGTTTTTTCTCTTCCTCACCATCCCTTCTATACTAGTAATTTTCTTTTGTGTCTCTCTTACATGTGACTGTTGCGGGAGAAACTGTTTTCGTGAATTGAACGGTTACAATAAAACAACTTTATACATTGCATTAAGGCNACTTTGGATTGAGCTTATTCATTCAGATTTTTAACTTGCAAACCATCGATTATTTAAAGTCTGAATTTTGAAATTGATTTTAGATTAATTGAAATTCGACAGGACTATTTCTCCAAAAGTTATCAATCAAAGCTTTAATCTATTGATATGTGTATTGTACTGGTCATTATACTTATGAGACTAGTTTCATTTCCAAACAAAATGGCATCGTAGAAATCGATCTCGTAGAAGAGACATTCGAAACAATCGTGAATTTTGTAGAGAACATTCAACTTGCAGAGAACACCTTTTTAGCATAGGTTAGGTTACCTTTTTCTTTTTTCCTCTTTTTTTTTTTTAATTTATTCAACGGTTAAGGATGTTTGTGTCAATTTATACGCATTTTGATTAATTCTCTCTTCGATCTGATCAAAGGTGGATTATTCACATCGGAACTAGAAAATTTATAAGGAAAAAAACTCTCATGACCTAGTTACACCTCAACTAATTTCTTTCTCGATCCAATTAAAGACATATCATTCATATCAAAATTAAAGTAATCACGAGAAAAAAACTCTCATTACGTAACCCCAAACTTAAGTCACCCTTTCAATCCATTATACTATTTATGTTAACGGATCATGTCATATTATTAAATTCATGTTTATTAGTAAATGATACCTCTATTCTCCGTTAATGAGAGCCAAATAACCCCATGTAAACCCTATAAACTTATTGGACATGGGAAGCTCACAATTTGTAGCTCACATAATTTACTATTCAATGGAGTACGACAGAAGAAGATTCATATAATTCAATTCTAAATAATTTGTATAAAAATAGTTGGATTAAATTAATTTTTATACTATTTGTTAAGTTATATACTTAAAAAATGTATACACATTATTCAAACTTTGTCCCTCATAAAATCAATCATAGAAATATATAGTGTGAGACTCTGCAAAACAAGAGAAAGGGGTGTTTTGCAGTGTTAACAGTTAGATTAATGAACACTGTTCCGACCATTGATCTTTTTTAAAATTATAAATTTGAATCTTGTCATATCTATTTGTACTGACAAAAAAAGAAAAAAAGAAAAGAAGAAAAAAAGAAAAAAAGAAAAGAAGAAAAAAAGAAAAAAAGAAAAAAAGAAAAATAGAAAGTGCCGTGCAGGCCCCAATGAAAGAGACGAAGTGGGCTCGAAAAACACAAACTTTCTAACTGACCTTATTTTTCTCCCTTATTATTTTTGAAAAACTTGAAAATATTATTATCTTAATAATTTTGGAAATAAAAATATATATTTCAAATAAATTATAAATACCCCAACATTTAATATCGGGCACAAATGCCTGTCAAACGCCCAAATCNTCCGTTAACGAGAGCCAAATAACCCCATGTAAACCCTATAAACTTATTGGACATGGGAAGCTCACATAATTTACTATTCAATGGAGTACGACAGAAGAAGATTCATATAATTCAATTCTAAATAATTTGTATAAAAATAGTTGGATTAAATTAATTTTTATACTATTTTTTAAGTTATATACTTAAAAAATGTATACACATTATTCAAACTTTGTCCCTCATAAAATCAGTCATAGAAATATATAGTGAGACTCTGCAAAACAGGGGAAAGGGGTGTTTCGCAGTGTTAGCAGTAAGATTAATGAACACTGTTCTGACCATTGATCTTTTTTAAAATTATAAATTTGAATCTTGTCGTATCTATTTGTACCGACAAAAAAAGAAAGTGTCGTGCAGGCTCCAATGAAAGAGACGAAGTGGGCTCGAAAAACACAAACTTTCTTCTAATTGTGTTTTTTGTGGCGTTTTTTTTCTTTCTTTAAATGCACCACAAATCACTAGCATGTACCATGTTTAATCACCCACTTAAATCTATAAAAAATTGTTTTGCTTTGTTGCAAATGAATATAAAGATTAAATAAAAAGGAGATCCATTTTATTTTTTGTCTTTGCCTTCCAAAAAATTAAAGAAAATGATCCCTTCCAAAAAAATATAGTAAATTTTTGGTTATTGTACTGAATGATATTCAAATAAAATCAAAATTACTAATCAATGATGTCCAAAATTACTAATCAATGAAACTATAACTTGACATTTTCCTCATATTTCTACTAATCGGAACAAAGACATAAACATGTGTAAACTTTTTAATATATCATACCTTCTATTTTTCATTAGAATCCTAATTTTACCGCCGCACATTTCAAACTTACCTTATTTTGTTTCCTTAATATTTTTGAAAATCTTAAAAATATTATTACCTTATATTTTTGGAAATAAATATATATATATTTGAAATAAACTATAAACACCACAGCATTTAATATCGGGCACAAATGCCTGTCTTAAGCCCAAACCTTGCAACTAAATTGGTCAGGGGCCGCGCGAACGCAGGCCCCCTCTACCACAAATTATGACGTAGGCTCCACCACTTGGGTAGACCTTAGGCGGGCGCCCCTCCTAAGTGCAATGGAGGTCGCCAACCTAGGCCATGGGCCTTTATGATCACCCATTGACCCCGTCCAGGTAAGTATGTTCTCATCTCCCAGTCGGTCTCAATTTATATTCCCCTATGGCCCCGGACTCTCCCTTCTTTTATCGATGTGGGATTGTAAACCAATGACACTACTCTCTGAACACGCCCCCAAGTCGCGGCAATAATGGAGTTTTGGCCCTCTCAGATATAACGATCTACCAGTCTTTAGCTCTTTCTGCAATTCATGGGTTAAAAGCTATGGAACTTAGGGTTTCTGAAATGGGTATTGGATTGTTCTTCTGGTTGGTGATGGTGGTGAATTTTTGATGGGTTTTGGTTATGAGAAGTGGGGAGTTTCTTGAAGATGACCATTGCTATTGAATGTCTTTGCATCACTTTGTCTTGTTTCTTTGCCTCATCATGAATCCTAAGTCTTGGTTTCGACTCTTTTGCTGCATAAATCTCTCTCACTCTCTCTCTAAAGGTAGTTAACAACAACATTCAGGTTCCTTTGTTGCCTTCATATGCTTGTTTCAAGATGCTGGGAAATCAATGAACTTTTCTCAGAATGCTTGGGCTTATAAACCCACAAAATTTATGAACTTACCCAGAAACTTTATGCTTTTGGATCAAAAATATTTCCAATTGCCTTGTGAACATTTTGGGGCAGAATCAACACGAAAAAGGAGCACCCAAGAACTAATGCAAACACAATCAAAGAAAAAGCAGTGCAGTTTTGGAGATTTGAGTGCCAAAAAAAACAAAACAATTGGGGCAAAATCTTCTAAAATAGATCTGAAGGGAAAATTTTGAGAAAACTTTCAGAATCCCATCTTTCAAACTAAATAGAATAGAGTTTCACTTGCTTTGATCCATTGAACAAAACAAACTATTATTATTGAATGGGTTTGAATTAATAGATTTTTTGTGCTTTTATAGAAAAAATGGATTGAAATTTAACGTTGTGTGTGACATAAGTTTTAAGTTAANTCGATGTGGGATTGTAAACCAATGACACTACTCTCTGAACACGCCCCCAAGTCGCGTCAATAATGGAGTTTTGGCCCTCTCAGATATAACGATCTACCAGTCTTTAGCTCTTTCTGCAATTCATGGGTTAAAAGCTATGGAACTTAGGGTTTCTGAAATGGGTATTGGATTGTTCTTCTGGTTGGTGATGGTGGTGAATTTTTGATGGGTTTTGGTTATGAGAAGTGGGGAGTTTCTTGAAGATGACCATTGCTATTGAATGTCTTTGCATCACTTTGTCTTGTTTCTTTGCCTCATCATGAATCCTAAGTCTTGGTTTCGACTCTTTTGCTGCATAAATCTCTCTCACTCTCTCTCTAAAGGTAGTTAACAACAACATTCAGGTTCCTTTGTTGCCTTCATATGCTTGTTTCAAGATGCTGGGAAATCAATGAACTTTTATCAGAATGCTTGGGCTTATAAACCCACAAAATTTATGAACTTACCCAGAAACTTTATGCTTTTGGATCAAAAATATTTCCAATTGCCTTGTGAACATTTTGGGGCAGAATCAACACGAAAAAGGAGCACCCAAGAACTAATGCAAACACAATCAAAGAAAAAGCAGTGCAGTTTTGGAGATTTGAGTGCCAAAAAAAACAAAACAATTGGGGCAAAATCTTCTAAAATAGATCTGAAGGGAAAATTTTGAGAAAACTTTCAGAATCCCATCTTTCAAACTAAATAGAATAGAGTTTCACTTGCTTTGATCCATTGAACAAAACAAACTATTATTATTGAATGGGTTTGAATTAATAGATTTTTTGTGCTTTTATAGAAAAAATGGATTGAAATTTAACGTTGTGTGTGACATAAGTTTTAAGTTAATTAATAAAATCACATTCACTACTCCAAATTTTAGATCCTTCCGAAATTGGCATGTGGACTTAAATTTGTTGCTTTTCTTGATTTTTTGCGACTGTAGTATGATATTGGGTAGTGGGTATATTATTTTTAAAATTTTCATGCATCTCTTTGTATTTGTCCATTAAAAAAAAATTTGATTCACAATATTACAGTTATCATTCCATATGGTGGATTGGGCTTGGACTGTGGAGCCCAGGCCCAGGCCTATATCTTCCCTTATGGGTTAAGGCTTAAGCATGACCTGCACAATGGACTCTTTTTTTTTTTTTTTGGGAAATTTGGAGGCCCGGTCCTCTAGACTTGTTTGGACTTAAATCCATCAAGAAAACTTATTTATTATAAAATCAATTTTTTATCAATTTTACCATATTATCTCTTCCCTTTAGAAGTGAAATAAAACTAAAAATTAAAAACTCCTAAATCTTAAAAATTTGACTAACATTAAAATATTTTTTCTTTCATATCTATCTATATCCATATATAGGATAAGAGTTTGACTAACATTAAAATTTTCACTCTCTCATATATATATATATATATATAGTAACATTAAAAATAAAAAATAGTAATATTCAAATACAAAAAAAAAATCATTTGGACATAAAAAATAATAAATTTAAACACAAAAAAATAGTAACATTTAAACATAAAAAAAATTGAAACATTCAATATTAATATTTTTAAAAAATAACAATAGTAACATGTTCAACAAAAATAGTAACATATTCAACAAAAATTGTAAAATGCTTAATAAAAATTATAACATACTTAACAATAATTATTTCTCTCAAATTCAAACGCAAAAAATAGTATCAGTCAAACACAAAAAATAATAATATTCAAAAAAAAAATAGTAACATTGAATATTAATATTTAAGAAAAATAATAATAGTAACATGTTCAACAAAAATAATAATATGCTCAAAATAATAGTAACATAAACAATAATATACTCAACAAAAATAATAATATATTAAAAATAATAGTAATATGGAACGTTCAATTTAACACTAATTAAAAAGACACAAGGCACAAGGACACGCGCGTGCGTACGTGTGACTGGAAGCTCATAATTTAAGCTCAAGTGCATAGGATTCTAATAAGAAGGTCTCACTACATGGGTACAGAAAACTGTGGCTTCACCAAGGCGTGGAATTCTCGCCATGGACGAGTCAAACGCAACCTGTGGGAAGCATCTGGCCTCGATTGGGCTCAAGAACACTGAGGCTAACCGTCAAGCTCACTCCTTGTGACAGTTCCTGGCCTAGGCCAATACATCTCCAGTGCCATCCTTTTTGAGGAGACTCTCTACCAATCCACCGTTGATGGCAAGAAAATAGTTGGCATTGAATTAAGAGATAATTAGAGAGAACTTTGGATTTGAATTTTTGAAGATTTTATTGGCATATTTTAATTGATATTAAATTAAGAAAAAATTATATCCAAAATAAAAAATTAATTTAACCTCCTCCCAAGAAAGAATATTTTTGAGATAAAAATAAATAAATTTAAATTATTATATATAATTTTAAAAATAAACTTAACCTCTTATACGGAAGATATCTTCAAACAAGTACGACTTGTGACTCCTGCCAATTTTCACTTTTTGTTTTTTTTTTTTTTTTCAGAATACACACCGGACTTTGTATGTGCTTATGTTGAACTGTCTACTCTTTCTTTCTGTCTACTTCTTCTTTCTTGTGACTGGTGAGTTGAGCCTTCCAATACTCCCTCTCTCTCTCTCTCTCTCCACTTCTTAGGGTTCATATCTGCCCTCGATTCTTGCTAATAGAGGTGCGTTTCTCTTGTTTTGATTGTCAGAAAATTATCTGCTTGAGCTGAATCATATGAATAGGGATCCCTAGTACTGTTCTCAGTTTTCTTTTGAAACAATTTATGTTTGACGGTATTTTTGTTATACATTTAAAAATTATTGATGTAAGTAGAATTATGGTTGGAATTATGGAGTTTTATGCGTTGAGGCAGATAATCATTGATCGTACTCGTCGAACTAAATAGTTTTCGTTCCTCAGCACTGCTGACAGGGGCTTTGTATATGCTTTGCACAGGGGTTCTAATGAGAATTAGAGCTAAATTTGTACCCTAAAAAATAAGCCTATTCCTGTTACCTGGGGACTGGCGTTATGGATTAGGTTAGAGTCCATCAATGTTTGACATTGATTATCTATAACTTGTTTGAATTAACTTCAACATCCTATAAATTGGTGCCTGATTTTTGGGAAACCCGTGGTAGCAGAAGAGGTGCTTGCTTTGAATCTTGGCTAATCGAGTAATCGTAATTGGTGGATAATGGAAATGGGGTAGGTATGGCATGTTAAACAGAAGGAAAGGAAATCAAGAATTGTGCATGCATAACACATGACCTTTTGTAGCCAATATTTGGGATGAATTCTGTTATTATAGAGATGTGACATGCGCTGCAGTGAATGTATGCGAGTCTTGTTTTTCGTCATGTGGTCTTTTTTTGTTATATAATCTTAGGTGTGAGTTTTAGCGAGCTTAAGGTAGTTTTACTAGAGAAAGTGCCTACTTTCCTGTTCAGAAGTGTCCACGTAGTCGTAGAAGTACGAGAACTGGAGTGGCCTTTATGTAATGCATGTGATTTTCAGTTTCAATGGAGTTTTAGTCTTAGCAGATGTNAGGGAAAATTTTGAGAAAACTTTCAGAATCCCATCTTTCAAACTAAATAGAATAGAATTTCACTTGCTTTGATCCATTGAACAAAACAAACTATTATTATTGAATGGGTTTGAATTAATAGATTTTTGTGCTTTTATAGAAAAAATGAATTGAAATTTAACGTTGTGTGTGACATAAGTTTTAAGTTGATTAATAAAATCACATTCACTACTCCAAATTTTAGATCCTTCCGAAATTGGCATGTGGACTTAAATTTGTTGCTTTTCTTGATTTTTTGCGACTGTAGTATGATATTGGGTAGTGGGTATATTATTTTTAAAATTTTCATGCATCTCTTTGTATTTGTCCATTAAAAAAAAAATTTGATTCACAATATTACAGTTATCATTCCATATGGTGGATTGGGCTTGGACTGTGGAGCCCAGGCCTATATCTTCCCTTATGGGTTAAGGCTTAAGCATGACCTGCACAATGGACTCTTTTTTTTTTTTTGGGAAATTTGGAGGCCGGTCTTCTAGACTTGTTTGGATTTAAATCCATCAAGAAAACTTATTTATTATAAAATCAATTTTTTATCAATTTTACCATATTATCTCTTCCCTTTAGAAGTGAAATAAAACTAAAAATTAAAAACTCCTAAATCTTAAAAATTTGACTAACATTAAAATATTTTTTCTTTCATATCTATCGATGTACAAAGTTTTGAAGAATTTTTGAATGATATTCCCTAGATGGTACTTTTATTCTCCTTCTATCTTCATTTAAGTGTTCGTGACTTGACGAGTCTACTAATCCCTAACCCTTTTTCCTACTTCGTGACCTTTAATTAAATGCCTGAAACCCTAGAGCTTTTTGTTGTCCAGAGAACTTTCGAACTTCTAGATTTCTCATTTTGCCAGGAACTTATAAGTTTTCAACATCCAGTACATTCCAGCTGCTTTTATCCCAAAAATGGTCGCATTTTCCTCCACAGACTATAATTATAAACCTACAAACTTCTTTGAACTTGGTCACCTTAAAACTAGGTTGTGTAGGTTTCATTATCCTAAATATTTGAGAATAACATTGCATGTAGGAGGAGGTTTTACATCACTGAGGTAAGCAATATAAACTCAGGTGACTTATGTTTGACCATTTACATTCCATCGAATAGGAAAGAGTATTCATTTGAGAGAATAGAAAGCCATTTGTGATATATCTTCTAGCTTTGGGCCTCAGGGGTACTAAATATGTTTCCTAATGGTTCATGTGCTTGCGGAGAAGCTTGTTCCTTTAACAGTGCACCAGAAATATTGATGTGACCATTGATAGTGGATCTCAAATTGAGATTCTGCATTAAACATTCATCTTCGTTAAAGTCTCATTTAAGGGAACTTGGTCAATTTATGTTTTGTTGTCGGTACTGCATATGACATTAGACTTCTGCATCATTTTCAGGATAAAAATCTGTGGCTTATCTAGTTGTGCAATGCAAGTTATTGGGTAAAAATCTAAATTTGCAGGACTTGACGTTTGAAAGCCGTGACCATGTCCTCATCATATCTCCCAGCAACTACTGACTCACTTGCTCAGGCTTTGGAAGCCAAAACCCCATCTGAGGCGATCTCTATCCTTTATCGGACACTTGATGACCCTTCATCTTTTTCTGAAGCTTTACGGATAAAAGAACAAGCCATCTCTAATTTCTCAGACCTTCTTAGACAAGAGAACAGGGCAGCTGATCTTCAAAAACTTCTGACTCAATTGCAGNATGACCCTTCATCTTTTTCTGAAGCTTTACGGATAAAAGAACAAGCCATCTCTAATCTCTCAGACCTTCTTAGACAAGAGAACAGGGCAGCTGATCTTCAAAAACTTCTGACTCAATTGCGGCCCTTCTTTTCCTTGATCCCAAAGGCAAAAACTGCTAAAATTGTTCGTGGAATTGTTGATGCGGTAGTTAAAATACCAGGCACATCTGATCTCCAGATCTCCCTTTGCAAAGAAATAGTGCAGTGGACCCGTGCTGAGAAGCGAACTTTCCTTCGACAACGAATTGAGGCAAGGCTTGCAGCTCTTTTGATGGAAAGCAAGGAGTATTCTGAAGCATTGACCCTACTTTCGGGCCTCATCAAGGAGGTGAGAAGATTAGATGACAAGCTGCTTCTTGTGGAGATAGTCTTGTTGGAGAGCAAGCTCCATTTCTCTCTGAGAAATCTTCCAAAAGCCAAGGCTGCCCTTACAGCGGCAAGAACAGCAGCCAACGCCATTTATGTGCCTCCAGCTCAGCAGGGCAGCATAGACTTGCAAAGTGGGATTCTCCATGCGGAAGAGAAGGATTATAAAACTGCTTACAGCTATTTCTTTGAAGCATTCGAAGCTTTCAATGCCCTTGAAGATCCCCAAGCCATATATAGCCTTAAGTACATGTTGTTGTCCAAAATCATGGTAAGCCAGGCTGATGATGTAGCAGGAATAATATCATCAGCCAAGGTGGGATTGCAATATCAGGGGCCAGAACTTGATGCAATGAAAGCTGTTGCTGATGCTTATTCAAAACGCTCTTTGAAGCTCTTTGAGATTGCTCTTCGCAACTTTAAAGCCCAGCTAGAGGAAGACCCTATTGTCCCCAGGCACCTCTCTTCCCTCTATGACACGCTGCTGGAGCAGAATCTTTGCAGGTTGATCGAGCCTTTCTCAAGGGTTGAGATTGCTCACGTTGCCGAGTTAATTGAGTTGCCTGCTGACCACGTGGAGAAAAAATCATCTCAAATGATTTTGAATAAGAAGTTTGCGGGAACTTTAGACCAAGGTGCTGGATGCCTCATCATTTTTGAAGATCCCAAGATTGATGCGATCTACCCGACAACATTGGATACCGTTGCCAATATGGGCAAGGTTGTTGATAGCATCTATGTGAGGTCTGCCAAAATAATGGTCTGAGGTTCTGATTTAGGAGATTGTTTTCTAGTTTCTGTTGCTTTTCAATTTCTTCCCAGAGGCTATTATCTCTCCATTGATGTCGGGATCGCGGCTTTATTTTTCTAGGTTGATATGCTGCTAGTTACCCAACATGATGTGAAATTGATTTTTCTCGAAGTACTGAAATTTTGTGGAAGATTGGATCAAATTGATGCACTCAGGCTGAACTTAAATGATCTCAATAGGAGTATATTTGTAATCCCCATGGATCCATGTTTTTGTGTTTTTTGTTGTGTTTTGTTTATGATAATGCAATAGTTGTACAAATCTAGGCTTATGCCCAATGCCCATGCCCTGGACTAGAGCCATTACAGCTGCAACTACAATAGACCAATGCAAACTTAGTATCCTTAGTAAGGCTATGTAAGTCGAAGGAAATGACTAAAAATTGAATAACAAAAGAAGGGAAAAAATAATACAACTCATAGTAATTTTTAAATGACGAGGCCAAAAAAAAAATCTTGCCTTCTGTTTTCTAACGTTTCGATCTTTCTATTCATTCGCTTTGGACCCATCTTTCTCTAATTCTTTTCGTTCTACTAATGAATAATCTATTAAAAAATCCTAAGTCTAGATCGGCTAGATAGCACTAGCTCTAGTAGAGATCTCTCAATTTCAAAATGTATCGAAACCTTGGGTAGGAAAAAAAAATGGGATGCTATATTTCTAGGATTAGATTTCATATTTGAATAAACATCATAATTGTAAGAAAGTGGGCTTTTTAGCTGCGGGCCCATTTAGCATCTTAAGTTTGACCTAATTAATTTAGCATATCAAATAGGTCACCCAATGTTAAGGTCGCGAGTTCGATCCTCTTTGTCCCCCGCCCATAAAATAGTATGACCAAAATAAAAAATGGGTTATTCTCACTTTACACCTCCAAAAGATGCTTTGATTTTTAATTTGTACTCATAAATATTTAAAATTTTAATTTACACTCTCAATGTTATAAGTTGATAGTAATGTAAATCTAAAACATATTGTCGTTTAATTTTTCGTCATAAATTGAAGTGCATAAGGTGTAAGTACTTCAAATATGAGAATGAGGTATATCTATCGTTNTTAGGAGATTGTTTTCTAGTTTCTGTTGCTTTTCAATTTCTTCCCAGAGGCTATTATCTCTCCATTGATGTCGGGATCGCGGCTTTATTTTTCTAGGTTGATATGCTGCTAGTTACCCAACATGATGTGAAACTGATTTTTCTCGAAGTACTGAAATTTTGTGGAAGATTGGATCAAATTGATGCACTCAGGCTGAACTTAAATGATCTCAATAGGAGTATATTTGTAATCCCCATGGATCCATGTTTTTGTGTTTTTTGTTGTGTTTTGTTTATGATAATGCAATAGTTGCACAAATCTAGGCTTATGCCCAATGCCCATGCCCTGGACTAGAGCCATTACATCTGCAACTACAATAGACCAATGCAAACTTAGTATCCTTAGTAAGGCCATGTAAGTCGAAGGAAATGACTAAAAATTGAATAACAAAAGAAGGGAAAAAATAATACAACTCATAGTAATTTTTAAATGACGAGGCCAAAAAAAAAATCTTGCCTTCTGTTTTCTAACGTTTCGATCTTCCCATTCATTCGCTTTGGACCCATCTCTTCCCTAATTCTTTTCGTTCTACTAATGAATAATCTATTAAAAAATCCTAAATCTAGATCGGCTAGATAGCACTAGCTCTAGTAGAGATCTCTCAATTTCAAAATGTATCAAAACCTTGGGTAGGAAAAAAAAGTGGGATGCTATATTTCTAGGATTAGATTTCATATTTGAATAAACATCATAATTGTAAGAAAGTGGGCTTTTTAGCTGCAGGCCCATTTAGCATCTTAAGTTTGACCTAATTAATTTAGCATATCAAATAGGTTACCTAATGTTAAGGTCGTGAGTTCGATCCTCTTTGTCCCCTGCCCATAAAATAGTATGACCAAAATAAAAAATGGGTTATTCTCACTTTACACCTCCAAAAGATGCTTTGATTTTTAATTTGTACTCATAAATATTTAAAATTTTAATTTACACTCTCAATGTTATAAGTTGATAGTAATGTAAATCTAAAACATATTGTCGTTTAATTTTTCGTCATAAATTGAAGCGCATAAGGTGTAAGTACTTCAAATATGAGAATGAGGTATATCTATCGTTTCAATTTTTCGTTTACAATCAATTTGACATAATTTTGTGTATCAAAAATAGAATTTTATTAATCAAATAAAAATTAAATTTATCATGCGCAACTCACATAAAAACACCAATAATATAAAAATTTTTATATAAGCTCATGTCCGAAACAATTGTAACTTATATGTTTCAATTCACGACGAAAATTTGAATGGCAAGATCTAAATTGTTACCAATTCATAACCTTGAGAATATAAATTAAAATTTTAATGTTTAATGGTATAAATTGAGAATTGAAACATTTTTTGGGGGTGGAAAGCGAGATTAGCCCAAAAGAAAACTGATAAGTATATATATATATATATACACAGAGAAAATCTAGCTGACCAAAATGGCCTCGGATAATCTGCGGTACAAGTTTCTACGGTTCGTTCAGTTCGAGGAGGCATATACGTTCTAGCATTCAACGCAGGCTCTTCTCCGTTTCCGATATCACCATTCCAATTCAGAATTTTCTCAACTAACTGATCTCGGATCGAACTGACAACCGTAGGCTCGGTGCTTCAAATCGAATCGATTCCGTACTTCTTATGCAGTTCATACTCTCTCTTGGATTCCCCAATTCTCACTTCGATTTCTGGTACGCTTTTTGCTATTTGCAGATTCAAATCCTTTGAATATATACATCTGTAATGTATTTCTAAGTTGTAATTATGCATTCTTTTATGTTTCTTCAATAGATCGATTAATTCCGGTTAGAGTCATGTAAAATTGATGAACTAGTGCCCTAGAATTTGATTAACTACAGAGATCAAAGCAATTGGTGTAATCAGAAATTTCAGTTTGGTTCTGACTTTTGATTTTATTACTTGGTGAACAATAGAATTGACTGACTATCGACTGTTTATTGAACAAGGTTATATTGAGCTTTAAAGGAGACATGAGTGAGGTATTCGAAGGATATGAGCGTCAGTACTGTGAGCTTTCTGCGAATCTGTCCAGAAAATGTCACTCGGCTGGTCTTCTTGCAGCTGGAGGTAACATAATTTTACACGCTATGTTTTCTTATGTTTGTCCTTCATGTATTTTCAGTTCATTTCTGCACATTTAGTTTTATAATTTGATGGGTTGGGATTTATATGTATATATTGTTTACTGGCTTGATAGTGCAGCATTTTTCATTTCTCTTGTATATGTAAATGGATATAAATGCAAGAGAGAGAAAGAGAAAATAAGAGACAAAAAGGTGGACATAAAGATGGAAAAAATAGATAATGGAAGATGTTTGACAAGGAGGCTTAAGAGGACACCGGCCAATGTGCCATTGGCAGAGGTTCTTGTCTGGGAAGCTCCATCTTCCACCTAAAAGTGGGAGCAAGGACTTGTAAAGCTTTCTTTTATAAAAGTAGAAATTGAATTAAATTGCATTTTGAAATGAGGCAGTGAAGATGAAAAAGAATACATGACACCAAGAAGGCAGAAGCACAATTCAATTGGACATTCTAGACCAGGCCCCTACGTTATTTAAGGTTTGTGGTTATTACCTACAAATGGGGAACAACTCTTTATGTTATGCATATATGAATGATTTATTCTAATCAAAGTTTGTATTTCGTGGTTGAGATGTTGCATGCATTTTTTTATGATTTGATGCTGTATAATTATTTTCTCATTTGTCATTGCCACTGATCTTGTGAATGGTTGTTTATTTTGTGTTGTTGTGATTTGCAGAGCAGAAGAAGCAACAGGTTTCTGAATTAAAAGAAGGATTGGACGATGCTGATGTTCTGGTAATACGTAGCCTTTTGTTTGCTTTTTATTTTGCCGCAAAGCTTTGCTTGGTTTTGGTTTGTAATGACCTTTTGTATCTAAATCTAATTACCAGATACGAAAAATGGACCTTGAGGCTAGAAGTTTGCAGCCAAGCGTAAAGGCTATGCTACTTGCAAAGCTTAGGGAATATAAATCTGACCTGAATAATTTGAAAAGGGAAGTTAAAAAGCTCACATCAGGTAACTCCAGTCAAGCTGCCCATGAAGAGTTGCTAGAATCTGGAATGGCAGATACACAAGCGGTATGCCCATATTTTACTACCCTGTTTTCTTTTTCGTTTTTCTTGATGGCCTTTTTCCAAAGGTTCTGCATGCTACCTTTATGGAGAAATTGTCGTTGACTTTGATAGTGTTGAATTAGATGCAACTCTCGAAGAATTAACTTGATTTGAATATGCAATCCCATAACTTGAACCATAATTGTTGTGTGTGGTTGTAGTCTATGTGGTGTATATTCATTGTTGGCTGAAGTTCTTTATTTGTTACTGAATAATTCTTCATTTCTGCATTCAAAAGCATAATAGTATTTTGGTCTTCAAAGCTTCAGTGAGCTGATTTGCAGAATTCGGGTAAATCAGTCAAGTAAGATCAGGCATTAGTCTCAATAGAGTTTATAGCCTAAGTTCTGTTCAGTGAAATATTATGTCTTGCATATTGGGATGGTGTATGTTTCATGGTTCTTTGAAATTGAAACCTTCAAAACCATGATGTTGAAATAATCTGTTTGGATCCAACATGGCTGTGTTTGGTCCAAGGGTACTAGTTTGGCGAGGAGTTGTGGTCATGCTTACCACAATTCACTAAACCATTAATGAACCATGATTTGGTTACATCGATCCAAAACGTGGTGAGTTTGCGATCCAGATTACCAAAATTGACGACCCCAAATTGTAATACTAACCCTAANGTACTAGTTTGGCGAGGAGTTGTGGTCATGCTTACCACAATTCACTAAACCATTAACGAACCATGATCTGGTTACATCGATCCAAAACGTGGTGAGTTTGCGATCCAGATTACCAAAATTGACGACCCCAAATAGTAATACTAACCCTCAATCAAATTCGTTTTAGAACATGTAGCACAAATATAAAACACATATTAATTGACTACATGTATATAGATTTATAATTATATATTGTTTTAGATAACAAAAAATCAAGCACAATTATAAGATAAATGGTAACTAATTTTGTGTTTTTTAATGTTTTGTAATATATAATGCTNAATACTAACCCTAAATCAAATTCGTTTTAGAACATGTAGCACAAATATAAAACACATATTAATTGACTACATGTATATAGATTTATAATTATATATTGTTTTAGATAATAAAAAATCAAGCACAATTATAAGATAAATGGTAACTAATTTTGTGTTTCTTAATGTTTTGTAATATATAATGTTGTGTAATAGTGAAAATAATCTATGTAAGAGTTCCAAAACGAATTGCGATCCAAAATATCGTACCAGTTAAACCTACTCCCATCGTACCATGTAGCTAAGAAAGTGTCGTACCATGTATCCGTACCTGTACCACGTATCAAAGCGACCCACAGGTAACATTGGTTGTGATNACCAGTTAAACCTACTCCCATCGTACCATGTAGCTAAGAAAGTGTCGTACCATGTACCCGTATCTGTACCACGTACCAAAGCGACCCACGATTCAGGTAACATTGGTTGTGGTNGTACCAGTTAAACCTACTCCCATCGTACCATGTAGCTAAGAAAGTGTCGTACCATGTATCCGTACCTGTACCACGTATCAAAGCGACCCACAGGTAACATTGGTTGTGGTATATCTGGTTCATTTGGATGCGTTGACAGCAATGAGTAAACCAAGAGAGTGAAGTTGCTCACTGCAGCTGTATAAGCCTTCAAAACTTTGCCATTTTTGTGAAACTTGCCATAACTTTTCATTAGTTAAAACTGACCACAACCATGTTTTTTTTTTCTGAAATTTGTTGGGCTCAAATAGAAAATGTCCAAATTTTATGATCATGCATTAAAGATACTGAATTGGTCTTCCAGGTCCTATTGTGGTCAGCTGACCAAGGTGCTCTATTTTCATCAATGTTTGTTGCATGACTGCTGATTGAGGGTCTAGAATTTCAAGATTGGGACCTTTCTTCATTAACGTTTTCCATATTTTCATTCATTTTAGGTTGTGTTGGCCTGCAATAATTTCCGTTTTTGATTTTGGGGAGAATACCAAATCAAACTAAGCCTTATGTCTCAATCATTTGGGGTCGGCTGTATGAGTCCGTCTTCGCCATTTATTTCGATCATACACTATATGCTCATTTAAGTTAAATATTTTCATATCTTCTCTTATTATTTTGTTCAATGTTAATTTAAGTTTACCCGTACTTCTAGTACTATTAAGAGATTATCTTACTTTTTCGAACCGGTGCCTCTATTGGCCTCCATTAAAGGTTTTTTGGGGAGAATGTTCCTTTTTTATATGTTTGGCGGGGAGTTTCCTGACAGATAGACAACAATACAGGTTTCTGTTAATCAAAGAGAAAGACTGGCTATGTCAACTGAGAGACTGAATCAGTCTAGTGATAGAATCAAAGAGAGCAGAAGAACTATGCTGGAGACAGAAGACCTTGGTGTCTCGATCCTTGAAGATTTGCATCAGCAACGTGAAACTCTCCTTCATTCTCATAAGAAGGTATGTCATTTTAAGCACGCATCTGACTCCTCCCGTAGTAGATAGGAGCCGCTTCTAGAAACAAATCCCGTGCCCCAAATGGACTTCTTTCCTAAGCTATCCATTTCAGGAACTACACCGTATATGCGCTCAAATATAAAATTAAAAAAAAAAAAAATCAGTGTGTTGATTGATAAAATTTGTATTTTTTGCAGCTTCATGGTGTAGATGATGCCATTGACAAGAGTAAGAAAGTGTTGTCTGCCATGTCTAGAAGGATGACACGGAACAAGTGGATCGTCTGCTCCATAATTGGAGCACTTATCCTTGCAATTATCTTAATCTTATATTTCAAGATTAGTCACCATTAATTGGCCCGACCAAAAAAATTGAAACATTGTATACATGTTATTACTTATCTCACACATTTGTATTGTATTCCATATATGAATCTTGCTGTTGTAATTACTGTTGACAGATACAGGCCAAGTCTAAAAGTTACCNTATTTCAAGATTAGTCACCATTAATTGGCCCGACCAAAAAAATTGAAACATTGTATGCATGATATTACTTATCTCACACATTTGTATTGTATTCCATATATGAATCTTGCTGTTGTAATTACTGTTGACGGATACAGGCCAAGTCTAAAAGTTACCAGTCGTTTTGTACGTTACTCTTTACATTTTCAATTGTCATATTGTATTTGTTATTCGTTCATTCATTGCACATGTCTATTAGTTGGCACGATATGATAGGTTGGGTTTGTTAGTTTGTTATAGATTTTTAGTATATATGCTCGACATTCCTTTTGTGTACGTTANGTTACTCTTTACATTTTCAATTGTCATATTGTATTTGTTATTCGTTCATTCATTGCACATGTCTATTAGTTGGCACGATATGATAGGTTGGGTTTGTTAGTTTGTTATAGATTTTTAGTATATATGCTTGACATTCCTTTTGTGTACGTAAGCAATTTTACAAAATGGAATATCAAGATTTCCTCTATTGATACGCTCTCTGGTTCTTTTGCTCCACTGTTGTTTTCCTTTTATTTACATTGTATTAGGGCAAGGTTGAGAGCATCTTCAATGGCAACCTCCGATATCGATTCTTCGGATTCTCAATTTGATTTAGAATCAAAAACCCCATCTCCATACCTTAATCTCCTTGATCCGGCGAACGCATACTGGCTTGACCATGGCGACAGGCCAACCCTAACCCTCGTTGTCGATCTCCTCACAACAGGCAACTATGCCACAAGGTCTCGCTTAATGCAACGCACACTTCGCGCGAAAAGCAAACTGGATTTTATCATCGGATCTATCACTAAACCTTCCAAATCCACCGATCCGTTGCTTGAGCTTTAGGAGTGATGTAACAACATGGTCGTNCAAAATGGAATATCAAGATTTCCTCCATTGATACGCTCTCTGGTTCTTTTGCTCCATTGTTGTTTTCCTTTTATTTACATTGTATTAGAGCAAGGTTGAGAGCATCTTCAATGGCAACCTCCGATATTGATTCTTCGGATTCTCAATTTGATTTAGAATCAAAACCCCCATCTCCATACCTTAATCTCCTTGATCCGACGAACGCATACTGGCTTGACCATGGCGATAGTCCAACCCTAACCCTCGTTGTCGATCTCCTCACAGTAGGCAACTATGCCACAAGGTCTCGCTCAATGCGACGCACACTTCGCGCGAAAAGCAAACTCGATTTCATCATCGGATCTATCACCAAACCTTCCAAATCCACCGATCCGTTGCTTGAGCTTTGGGAGCGATGTAACAACATGGTCGTTTCTTGGCTCCAAAACTCCATCAGCCTCTCTCTCTAGTCCAGCGTTCTCTTTGTTGATGATGCTAGGGAAATCTGGTTGGACCTTCAGGAATGGTTCTCGCACCAAAATGGTCCTTGTATTTACCAACGTAAAAAGGCTTTGGCTGCCTTGTCTCAAGAGCACGATCCGATAAACNTCCAAAACTCCATCAGCCTCTCTCTCCAATCCAGCGTTCTCTTTGTTGATGATGCTAGGGAAATCTGGTTGGACCTTCAGGAATGGTTCTCGCACCAAAATGGTCCTCGTATTTACCAACGTAAAAAGGCTTTGGCTGCCCTGTCTCAAGAGCATGATCCGATAAGCATTTATTATGGCAAATTAAAGGCTATCTAGGATGAACTGTCTATCTATGATCCTATACCTTCTTGTAACTGTGGTAATATGAAAACCTTACCGGATCGATATCAACAAGATTGTGTGCTGCAATTTTTGATAGGTCTCAATGACTCTTATTCTCCCATTAGAGACCAGATTATGATTTTAGATCCCTTCCCACCTGTCTCCAAATTTTCCCTTGTCCAACAGTAAGAAAAGCATCATCAAATAACCTCTCACACTCCATCACCTAAGACTATGGCCATGGCAATCCAAAAACCCTACACCTCTTCCAAACCTGCACCTAAAACAAACCACCCTCCAAAGAAAAATCGTCCCTATTGTCGCCACTGTAAAATCACTAGTCATACTTTCGAGACTTGCTTCAAAGTTGGCAATGCTGAGCCTCCTCTTTGCTCACATTGTAACATGACTGGTCATACCATTGAGAAATGCTATAAACTCAATGGATACCCACCTGGCCACAAATACCATACCAAGCCGCAGCAACAATCTGGTTTTCTTGCAAATTAAACATCTCTTTCATTTGCCTCTAACTCTGAAGACAACAATGATGCCAAAATTGGTTTAACCAAGCAACAATATCAGCAACTGATGGCATTGCTCAGACCTCAGGATTCTCTAATTGTGGCTTCAGCTGTCCACCACAGCAACCCACCTCAACCCTCTTCCAAAATGTCTGGTACTTCCACCTCTTTGTCTACTCACACACAATGCTCACCACATCCATTATCTATTGCTTGGATACTAGACACAGGCATTACAAACCATATGGTCTGCAATACCTTTTTTTTTTTTTACTATTATTACATCTATTGTTTCTTATTTTGTGAAACTACCTAATGGTCATTCTGCCCCTTTCACACACATCGGAACAATTCACTTAACAAATTCCATCATTCTGCATGATGTCCTTTGTGTGCCATCATTTTCTTTCAACCTTATTTCAGCAAACAAACTAATCTCTACCCTTAATTGTTGTTTGCTTTTCTTTTCCACTCACTATTTTATTTAGGACCTGCACTCATGGATAAGGATTGAGATGGGTGAGCTCAAGTATGGCTTGTACCATTTCATTTGTAAGAAAGTCCTTCCCTCAACTCTATCCACCTTCCTCTCGGCACACTCAGCCAGCAGCAATATCATATTTTCTTGTTTTACTTTTGTTACAAACTCTGTTTCATATATTGACCTATGACATTGTCTCCTAGGTCACTTATCATTTCCTAGATTAAAGTTAATTTCAGATCCACTTGTACACAAGGGAATTTCTCCTATTAATGAAAAGTCTTGTAAAATTTGTTCATTAGCTAAATTTTCATCGTTTATCTTTTCCTAAGAATACACATTCTTCATCAAGAATTTTTTTAGTTCATTAATTGTGACTTATGGGGTCCTTGCTCCACTATTGCTCATGATGGCTCAAAGTACATCTTGACCATTGTTGATGACTTTTCTAGAACTGCCTGGATTTATTTACTTGCTACCAAATTTGAAACCAGACAATGCATTACAGCTTTTTACAATCTTGTTGAGACACAATTTCAAATGAAATTNTAGAACTGCCTGGATTTATTTACTTGCTACCAAATTTGAAACCAGACAATGCATTACAGCTTTTTACAATCTTGTTGAGACACAATTTCCAATGAAAATTAAAATTCTGAGAAGTGATAATGGTGCTGAGTTTAACATGCATGATTTTTTCAATCAAAAAGGCATTATTCATCACAAAAGTTGTGTTGCAACCCCTCAACAAAATGGCATTGTTGAGAGGAAGCACCAAATCTTACTAAATGTGGCCCATGCCCTTCTTTTTCAAGTTAGTCTTCCTTTAACTTACTGGAATGAATCCATCCTTACAGCCACATATATCATTAATAGGCTTCCATCACCCCTTCTCAAACAAAACACCATATGAACTCTTTTTTAATAAGAGACCCAAATATGCTCACATGAGAGTAGTTGGTTCCCTTTGCTTTGCTGCCACACTTGCTCATAACAGAACATAATTTAATCCTAGAGGTCGTGTATGTGCATTTCTTGGCTACCCTTTTGGAACTAAAGGCTACAAGCTTTTAGATCTCNTCATTTAAGTTAAATATTTTCATATCTTCTCTTATTATTTTGTTCAATGTTAATTTAAGTTTACCCGTACTTCTAGTACTATTAAGAGATTATCTTACTTTTTCGAACCGGTGCCTCTATTGGCCTCCATTAAAGGTTTTTTGGGGAGAATGTTCCTTTTTTATATGTTTGGCGGGGAGTTTCCTGACAGATAGACAACAATACAGGTTTCTGTTAATCAAAGAGAAAGACTGGCTATGTCAACTGAGAGACTGAATCAGTCTAGTGATAGAATCAAAGAGAGCAGAAGAACTATGCTGGAGACAGAAGACCTTGGTGTCTCAATCCTTGAAGATTTGCATCAGCAACGTGAAACTCTCCTTCATTCTCATAAGAAGGTATGTCATTTTAAGCACGCATCTGACTCCTCCCGTAGTAGATAGGAGCCGCTTCTAGAAACAAATCCCGTGCCCCAAATGGACTTCTTTCCTAAGCTATCCATTTCAGGAACTACACCGTATATGCGCTCAAATATAAAATTAAAAAAAAAAAATNCTGTTTTTTTTTTTTTTTACCACATAGAGAGAGTGGGTGGGTGAGAATAAATATGAATTGACTTTTGAGGTTTTTTTTTTTATTTTTTCAATTTATAAGTTTTTAATATTATGGATTGGACCAAGGGCCCAAATTATTGCAATAAAAATTTTGATTGAATTTAATTTTTTGGGGCTTTTTTGTTGGGCTTAAAATTTAATGAATTTAATTTTTTTTATGGGCTAGTGATGTACTGAAAATTATGGGGTCTTCTAAAAATTTGGGGCCTAAAGCCCATGTTTTTTTTTTCATACTGTTGGACCGGCCTTGATTGTATGTGTTCAGGATAGAGGGAGAGTGTGTGTATGAGGTAGATAGAGATATAGAGTTATATGAGAGATGAGAAAGAGTGTGTTTAAAATGTGCGAGAGATAAGAGAAAGATGTAAAAGGAATAAAAATTCAATTATAATTTTATAGATATAAAATAGATAGATAGATAGATAGATATAAAATAACATATGTTAATAAACCTATAATTCGTTAGACAGAATCCTTGTTATTAGAGTTTTAACGAGTGTTAGA